TGGTAAATGTCATGATCTGTGCAAAGAAAACAGAATGAAGTTAGGATTAGAGAATGATGGAGACTGTGACTTTTGTTCCCTGTGTGGTTGTTTTGGATATTTTTTTAGTGTGTTAAGTGTGCTCAAGGAAAGAAAACACTGAAGCTGAGAAAATAAAACCCCTGAGATATGTTCAGCAGTTTGTGCTTAGTTGCTTCAGCCTTCCCTTAAGGCTGAGACTGATCAGAAATGCTTGATGTCAGCCAGGTCTTAGATAAGAGAGCAAAATAATTTTTACAGATGTGCATTTTATACATTTGCATTTTGGATGTGTTTTGCATAATCATGTTGTTATACTGTATATCTGATTTTAAATATTTACTTTGATACTCAAGAAACACTTGAAAGTCTATACATCTGTGTATATGGAATGCATATATTCATGTATAGCTCCTGTTACATTTTGATACTAAATATTTCATATTGGATAAATGAGAAATTTGTAGCTTTTTTTCTGTATGGGCAACACTTTATAATTATTATTTGAAACACTTAAGAACATTTGGCTCTACTTGCAGATTGCCTCATGCTGTAGGAAATTTTTAACAGTCTGTATAGGTTTTAGTGTAATTGCCTGGGAATTTCATTGCTTATTTGCTGTCTGCTATTTCATGACCTTGTTTGTAAAGGGTGAGTTAGGTCAAATGAAGTCTAGTACAATTAAGTGCAACAGTAGTAGCTTAAGTATTCCTGGTTTTTTCCATAGTACTTTTGCATTTCTTTTGGATATGTTTTACATAATCATATTCTTACACTATACATCAGATTTTAGATCTTAGCTTTAGTGCTACTTTCAGAAAACTTTGGTGTGATATCAGCCTCACAAATGGAAAGTCAGTGTGTATTTTAAGATTAGGAACAGGAAGCTGCTAAGTAAAACATGTCTTATGAGTAAAGAAACAAAATGGAACTCTAGCTGCAATAAAGACAGAGAAGGCTCTAGGAGAAAAGAAGATACTTCTACTTTCTGAACTCTTTTATTTTAAATTTGGTGAAATCTATAACTCACCACAATAATTGGTGGCATCCGTCAAGTTTTAGAAGCACAGTATTCTCTCTTGTTCCCCATTTACATGCAACACTTCCTATCACTCCCTATTCTGTTATAGAGATACCGTTTTTTTGTGACTGCTTCTTTTTAAAGGAAAATTGTCCTCCTCAAGGATGTGCAGCAGTTGCTACTGAAAACAGGATAAATGACTACTCATTTATCTTTATTTTTCTCACTCCGCTACAATATATGTTGCTGCTGCCTTATATTTCTTTCCTATACTGTAAACACTTATTCTACATGGATCAAGAGTTAAAATTATCATTAGTAGACTATATATCCCAGCACCACTGAACCTTTGCAGATCAACATGAACTAATGGCTAAAACTCTATCTAAGTGGCAGCATGATGTGTTCACTTAGTGATGCAGAAACTCACACCCCTGTAAATTTCCTTTGATATATGCTTCCCATTACCAGCTCATAATCTATTCCCCAGTACTTATGGGATTTGCAGCAATCAACAAACAGGGGAAATGCTTCTGGAAACTTTTTGAAGACCAGATAGAACCTCACATACCCATATTGAACACCCAGAGTGAATACATATTTCGAGTCTGGAAGAATGACACTTTGAAAGAGACCAGATCCATCCTCCTTTCTGGTTTTCCATGGGTGCAAGTTTTATGCTGTTCCTGAGAATCATGCATCATGATCAAAACACAGATTTTAGACTCATGCCCACCTGAGGTCATATTCTCTCAATTCCTGCCTTATGGAGTCCTCAGGAGTTTTAAATGAAATAGCACATGTTATGTGGTATTATCACCTGGTAATGTGACTGGTATCAATAGAAGACCAACAGATGACAAGTGTTAGCATGGAGTTCATCAGGCATGATAAAGGGCAAGGCAATCTTTGTATCTCTAAGAAATGCAGGTGATCATTCTCTCACTGGTCCCTGTAATGGGAGCTTATAGACTAGGTGATAGAGAAGTATCCAATTAATTATTTCTTTCTGTAATTTTGTCTTTCCCTCTCTATCTCTGATCCCCAAATGTTATACCCATTGCAAACATATATGCAAGTGCCAGCTGCATAAATCAACACTTCTCCCTTGCACTGTTCTCACTTTGATCACTGGGGTGGAGGGTGGGGTCTCACCACTAATGAGAATTATTAGAACTGTGGTTTCCCAAGAGAGTGTCAGTTATATCTTTTGCTCATGTACCACATGAACTAGACCAGCCTTCCGTCTCTAGAAGGGTCCAGACTGTAGTCAGAAGACTCCCAACAGGAAAGCTATTAAGGGGATGACATAGATGGGAAATGTATTGCATGATCTTTTAAAGTCCTTTCTACCTTTAGATATGGGGGTTCTAAATGCCTTATAGATTGGATAGAAATCCCTTAGAGGTTAACAGACCCAAGTTTCTGGAAGTTGCTTGCACATGACTGATTTGTGGTTTCTCAGGGATTATCAAAGAAGAAGGAATGAACATCAGACATTAATTTATTTACAAGGAAACAGTACTGTAATGTGGCTTAATTTTAGAAATAAGATGTTTAAAAGACTCGACTCAGAATGCTGATTTTGATTCTAAATGGAACTAGACTTCATAACTTAAATGTGTAAAAGAAAAATATATTTGTTATAGATCATCGGGATACTATATCTAGTAAACATTTATTCAGCATTTTGCTACAATTAAAAAAAAAAAAACAAAAAAAACCTCACCACCACCAAACTACTTGTGCCAAATTGAGGCAAGAGGCGAAGATTAACTTTTTCTAATTTAGTTGGGTGACTAATGAACCGGTGAGAATTCAGGGCAGGCGTACCAGAGAGTGCTCAGAAATGAAGGTAATTGAGTCAATTATAGTACTTTTGAATAAATGCAGGGCAGATTGTCATTATGTGCAGAACTCTGATTTAAAATAATCATAGTTGGCATGTCTCCCTTGCTGGATGTGTACTGTTTCATACTCTTGTGTAATGAGTGTTTTAGCTTAGAAGAGCCACTTAGGGAATTTTCTCTTTGCTCTTGGCCACCATAGTTTTTCCCACTTGGAAATGAGAAACTCAATTTTTAAAAGTAAATAGGTAATGGTGATAGCATCAGGTGATCTCTTAGGCTTGGAGATATAAAATCTTGAGCCACTCTCATTCACTTTCTTTGTCATAACAGATTTTTTTTTATGAATGGGGCTGGCTACAAATTGTCTGGTAGAATTGCAAAATTGGTACCATTGATTCAGTTTATAGTCAGAAAAGCCTTTCCAAATTGTCCTTTGCACTTACCTATTATACTTCTTAATGGTAATTGACATAGTTTTCTTTTTTAACAAATAGATGTTGAGTTTTTTGAATAGTAACTATGAATCACTTTAATTTTTACAGACTTACAGGCTCCCAAATCAGAACACCTGCTTCTCGGAAATGTGCACTCTGATATGTAAAATAGAGGAGGACAGCCCAGCTCACTGTGCTGGCCTGCAAGCTGGTAACTTACAACTTTGCTTTGCTCATGTTAGGAATCGTTTAAATAGCAAGAAAAGAAAACTGTTTTATAGTAAAGGTCAGGATATGATTGTTGCTTTGAATTTTCTTAGCTCGTTTATACTTCTAAAATTTGGAACTTGCTTGTTTTGCTTCATTTGCAAGTCAGGAGGAATTATTTAATGAATCAATACAACATTCACTTTTCTTGGCATCTCCCAGGTGATGTCCTTGCAAATATCAACGGCGTGAGCACAGAAGGCTTTACCCACAAACAAGTGGTTGACTTGATCAGATCGTCAGGAAACCTGCTAACGTAACTATTTGTCTAGTTCCCATGGGGCTTCAAAAATGTTATGCTCTCTCATAATGCCTGTTGAGTGAATGAATAGGCTTTTTGTTCGGGGATCACAAGAAAGGGGAAGGCAGTGCACCACAGCTTTGGCATTGGGTACAAACATTATCAGTTCCTTTTGTTTCTCAAGGCTCCTCAGACTTGAACATATTGTCAACATCCGAAGTCAGAGGACATCAATAGCACAAACGTCTGTGTGGGAGGGATAGCTTTTAAAAATGTATTTTTTATGTCAAATTGAATTAAACTGGCACACACTCTCTTTAAACCGAGAGGAACTGATCCAGTTTCCATGCTTGATATAATCTTGTAGCTAAAACAAATCGAAGGTTGTAAGGGCTGAGTTTTTTCCTCTTTTGCCACAAGCCACTTGTTTTTCTCCTCTAGTGTTCCATTTGCAAGGAAGAACAAAGTCTGCTCAACCCTCCTACCCTGAAACACACATGCTCACACTAAATATTCCAAATATTGCAATCTTATTAGGACAGCAGTCTTCGCAATTAGATATTTGACTGACTTTTCTACCATAACATTTCCAGCACCTAATAAGACCTTAAAATGTAGTTAAAAGATGAAATTCACTTGTTCATTAAAATTATATTTATTGAGCAAATACTATGTTCCCAGCTCTGTGATAGGCTTGGGAGAGACAAAGATAAAGACCCTCTTAGTGCTTTAATAGAATAACTGTGGAAAGAAATGGCTCAGAAAAGCCTGGAAAATAAGTAATTTTTATATTTCAGATATTGATAACTGCAATGAAGAAGGTGAAGTGGGACAATGGGATAGAGCATTGGGTAAGGAGGTGGCCAGCTTAGCTTAGATGTTTAAAGTGGTCCTCTTGAGGAGGTGAAATTTGAGTTGAGAACTAAATGAAGAGAAGGGTTGGTCATATGACCTCCTGGTAAGAGCATTTAAGGTAAAAAGAAGTCTCTGGGTTCTCAAAATGGGCTTGGGCATATCCAGGGGACAGAGAGAGTGAGCCAGTGCAGTTAGCAGTTGGTGGATTAGGGAGCATATAGTAAAAAATGAAACCAGAGAGTCTGACAGGGGGCAGACCAGGGGCCTCACCTACCATGCCAACAAGTTTGGGTTTTGTTCTGATTGTGGTGGGTTCTCTATTACGCCATTCCTTCTTTACAGCCACTTATGGGGTTAATTTTGTTCCTATTTATAGATGAAGTGCCTGAGGTTTAAAGAGAGCTAAGTTAAGGTCACACAACTAGTACATGATAGGGCTGGGATTTGACCACCTGCTCTGGACTGGGATCTGTTCTCTTCAGCTACAGCTGCTCATTGTAAGCTGCCAATAGAAAAACTGCTGGATGCTCTTCCACGATTCTAGTCTAAAATTTCAAAGCATGTTTTGGGTGTGTGTACAAGTAGTTTTGAAAGATGGTGGTGGTAGAGGATTGAGTCCAGCTCTACAGGTCCTTTGAGTTCAGGGTAAAGGAAGGGTATGCTCTTGCTCCAGAGAAATCTGGACCCAGAAAGTAGGAGCCATATAAAGTCCAAGAGAAAATGCTTGTTCTTAGAGTCAGAAAGTACGTTCTGCACGGGTGAGGTGGGCAGACCACAGGTGAGTAGGGGTGATAGGTGGAGATAATTGTTAGAAATTCAGAGATCATGAAATGGGAGTCTGTACAAATATTGACGAGAATGGCCAGTTGATTCTTGCAGTTTTGCCCATGCACTTCTATTGTTTGGGTAGGTCATACTGACACTGAGTCCCAGTGAAATAGATTCATAATGATCCTCACTATTGCCCAGAGAGTCAAGACTGCCTTAATGAGAAAGCAGACAGAGTTTTTGCTTGCTGTCACCTCATTATCTCAGGCATGATGCTGTTAGAAATAGAGGAAAATTGCTCTCCACATTTAATACTTGTACCATGTATTGAAACATTTCTTGCAACTTTATAAATAGAGTTACAGCTTAGTTATAATAAGGAATTTGAACCAATACTTTAAAAATTGGTATGTGATTCATGAATGAAAATTTTTTATCATATTCAGATTGATGGTGTAGTAGTCAAAATACAGGCCCTGAGCACACAAAACAAATTAAATCACTCAGGATAGAACAAGTCTTTTATTTTTAGAAAGGTGTTTGGTGTAGGAAGAAAAGAACACTGTTAAGTTGATAATTCTAGGATTAAAGTTTGTGAAGTAAAGGTTCTGAGATGAAAGAGTCTTATGAAGGTTATTATCTAACAGTAGTTCTAGTTCTGTTTGTTCTACTTCCAAAATTCTAAGGCAATTTAAAGAGGTAAAGGCTCCCAGAATCCTAGAGAGGAAAGGATTTCTCCTTGTTTCAAGAGTCCAGTTCTATGGGTCTTGTGAGTGTCGATTCCACTGTTGTGAAAATCTCTAGTGCCTATTGTTTTTGTTATTGTATCCCCTGTGTTAAGCCTGGTGTCTGGAATCTGGCACATAGTAGATGCCCAATAAATATTTAACAAATGCATGAGATGATTCAGCCTGTCTCCACAAGAATAGATTCTAGTAGAGAGCAATCATCATTGTAAATAGTCGCTTCTATAAAATAACCTATAGTTTACAACTTGACCAGGATCTTTTCTTTCAGCCACCCTCTTAAGGGGAGTTTTTTCCCCCATTTTCTTCTGTGAATATCAGAAGGTTTGGCCTAGGTCCAGATACTTGAAGTGCCATGAGCACTGTAACATTTATATTGCGTTTTTAGTATAGTCTGCGCTCAAAGTGTAGTACTCCGTAAGTATGGTGCTTGTTTAAATGAATCACTCATGTTATTCCCTCCCCCTACCTTTTTTTTCCTTAAAACAGGATAGAGACTCTTAATGGAACAATGATTCTCAAAAGAACAGAGCTTGAAGCAAAGCTGCAGGTTTTAAAGGTAATTAAATTTAATGCGGTGAGGCGCATTTTTCATCCTTGAATGCGTGAGTGATGGAATAAAGATCTATTTGAGGAATGGAGATAGCCCTTGAAGATGAAATGTCATGATGAATCTAAACTGCTGAATTACCAAGAGCCACACAATTACCTTTGGAGGAATATCAAATTCCGTAAACCAATGTAAATCACCTTCTTCCTTCCTCCTTCTGTGTGTCTATGAGGCTTAGAAAGGCAACAGGAAGGCATGCCACTTGAAGAACTCTTCATTTACTTCATTTACTGCACCTGTGATCTCTCTTGATTTACATTTTGTTTGGGAAAAAACAAAAAAGGTCATCATTTCCCCAAATGTTTCATGAAGGTGCTAGAGGGCTTTGAATTTTTGCTTTTTCATTGTCTTCTTTTGTGTCCTTCTCTTCTGCCTCATTCTTAAAACAAAGACTTTATCCCTCTAATCCTATTGCTGTCCTTGAATCTGCTTTCATTGGCAAGCACACTATCAACTTTAAAGGGGAACAAAATTAGTTTCCAGGCGATAGTGCGCAATGAAGGATGTTCAGGGAAAACTCCCTCAGATGGCTCTTTGAGGCTTTTAAAAATCTCTGTTTTCTGGGCTCGTGAACCATGAAGTCTCACTCATATGCATCTGAGTCAGAGCCCTGTATACCCCTCTCCTGGTTCCAGGTGACCACTTCATTCCACTGCTCCCCTCTGCATGGCAATGAAGTAGTATTGATTGTAGCAGAGATTGTATAACTTACTCTAGGCAGGTTATTTACTTGGACTTTGTTTAGAAATAGCTGCCATTTATTAGTTTGCTTCTTGAAGTATGCACTTATTAATTATTGAGCCCAAGAGGGTGGATTTTATCTTGTGTTCTCTTATATATTTATATTTCATCTTGAATATTTTTCTTCCCCCACGTCCAATTCATCAACAAGCACTCCTTTCTTCTTCATCAACATTGGTTTTGATATTCTTGCCACTTTTTTTTTAATCAATTTTTAAAATTCCTTGAAAAACCTCTGCTCAAATTTTGATAGGAATTGAATTGTATTTATAAAATAAATGAGAGTAATTGAAATCTTTATGCCTTTAATTTTTCTCACTTTGAACACAGGGTCTCAGTTTTTTTATTCAGGTCTTTTATGTATTTCAAAAATACTTTGTACTTTTCTTCCTACATTTTTACATATCTTTTATTATATTTATTATTATGTACTTCCT